ACTTGGCTTTTTTTTGGGTCAAATCACCTACATTAGTTAATCAAAATAATTTGCCTATCCAAAGAGCAGTGATTTAGTTTTAAAGCAGGTTTGACTCTTATTTTGTTAATTAAGATCATATTTTTTAGAGAGATTAATAAAAAATATTTTTTTATGAATTTTTTTTGTCGTAAATGATTTGTTTTTAACCAAATTAAGCGAGATGATTTAATTTATAAAAGAGCTTGCTTCTCATATTAATAGGTTTTATTCGGTTTAATTGTTTTGAACAATCCATAATCAATACTGAATATTATCAACTATGTGATATTAATTATCAATTATAAGTTGTTTAAAATTACCTTTTCTTTCCCCTTTTTCTCTTTGAGAAACACCCATTTCTCAAGAATGATATCCATTCGTGTTCAATCATAATATGAAAGACATCACCTTAATATAAATTAAGACAAAAAATTAATTTTAACATGAAAAAATATATATCACTATAAAAAATTGCATTTGAAATTATATACTCACTTTAGAATCAATTCCAACGTCTCCTAGACCTTCGAAACTTTCATCTTTACACGAAGTTACAACACTCCAAATTCGTGCCAATCGCAATATATACAATCCTAAGGTTGGATCAAACTTTGGTTAGAGCATTGATAGCTTCATATCCAATGTCCATGAGTTGATTATCCATGTTTCTGAATTAAAAATAAAATAAAACAAAATAAAATACAAAACTATTGCTTCAGCTGCAATGTGGATACAATTGTGTCATGTGGGTTTGGGTCGGGTTTTCGCAAATATCAATGGGCTTCTGTTCGTTTTCTGTGTGTAGGCTCAATAGCCGAAGACTGAATAAAGCCCCCTTTTCCAACCAAAAAATGGGCCTTTATTTGCTCAAGTCCAAATAATATAAAAATATAAAAAGAAAGCATAAAATTGATAAAGAAAAACCCCTTGATTTCATTTTTCTTCAGTACACTTGTCTTCTCCTCTCACCATATTCCTCATCTAAACGTCCCTTTGGTGGTTTTCTCTCTCTTGTCCCCTAAACTCCATCACCACCTTCCTCTCTAACTTAGGAGGATCCCCAAAGGAAGGGAAACCCGGTGGCACATTTTCCAATACAAATAAGCGAAGATATGCTTGTTCTAAATTTCAAATAAATAATAAAATAGATCTAAAAGTTAAATTTATTAGTATCATTGTCTTGAAATTAGTATTTTAAAAAATAGAAGAATATGGCACCTAATTTTTTGGGTCAATTGGCAGTCTACCAGCTTGAGGTGCATTCTCCTTCTTTCATGGGCAAGCTTTGAACCCGCTCCTTGACAACTTGTTAAAAAAAAAGAAGATGAATGTGAGGGTGTATTTTTAAAATTATTTTAAAATATATTAATTCTTAAAGTATATAAAAATTTATCCAAAAATACTTCATCATAAATAAAAATTAAAAAATGGTAGAAAATAAATTGAAGGCAAATGGGCGGACTCAAGTGGCTTTTCAGCTTGTTTCAGCTTGATGGTCTTGGTTTTACGAAGGGTTTTAACCTCTAAGGTTTGTTTCGGATGATTCTCGACCAAATCAGACGATTTCTCTCTTCTAAGGCCAGCTCAGGATATTGTTCTAGACTTATCAGCCAAACCAGATGATCTGATTATGATGCTGCTCTCTACGGAAAGAAACTACCAAATTCTCAGTTATGCAGCATAAAAGTTGAAGAAAACTACTGTCTCAAATTTTTGATTCCATTTATTTAGAAGCATTGAGAGATATACTAATTATATACTCATTTAAGATTTTACATGTACACTACTCCACCCTTGCTACACAAAACCTTCATTTTCTCCCTATAAACATGGTCACTGGAACCAAGGTTTTAAGAATTGACCCAGTGCTTGACCCATTTTGGGCACTGGGTCTAATTCAATTGGTTGAATAGATTCAACCGACTAGTTCAACATGTCATACAAAAAAATGATATTTTTAAATTTTTAAAAAGTAAGAAATAAGAGTTAGTGTTAAAACATATAATAATTATGTAAATATTAAATTACTAAACTCTATAATCTTTATTACTAATCTTTTAATTTTTTTTAATTTATTCATAATTAAAAATTAAATATAATAATTAGTAATTTTATAAAAATTTTAATTTAAATCTTTTTAACATCAAACAATTTCTATAAAAAAATAAAAAGAAAAGAAAAGAACAATATCATTAAATCAAATTTCATTTAATATTTAAACAGTTAAAATTTTGAATCTTATCAAGTTATTATTATTATTTATGATTTAATTAAATAAACTATTTAAAATCTTAGAAATAAAAACTTAATTTAATTTAGTAATATGATTCATAATGTGAGTTTAAAGGTATTTACTTTAATTTTGTTATCTTATTTTTAAAATTAACTAATTTATAAATTTTATTTTATGAAAATATTTTTCTAACATGTTTTTTTATATTTAATGTGCCTTTTAATAATTAATTTTTATAAAAAATAGAGATTAATTTTAGTTTATTAAGAATTTGCTTAATCTATTTTCTAAAAGTATAGGTTAAACTTTATTAAATGTAAAATCTTTAATTAATTTTGCACAAATTTTTAAATATTATATTATATTTCAATTTTACATTTTTTATTCTATTTTAATTAAATATGATATAAAAATTTAAATAAAATTAATTAAAGATAATTTATTTAATAAAATTTTACCTATATCTTAAGAGCACATATTAGAAAATTTTATTTATTAAATATACAATTAAAATCATTAACATGATATTGAATTAGAAAATAATTAATTGTTAAAAATTACATAAATGCACTCTTAAATAAAATTTTGTGTAAAAATAACAATAATGGTGTTGGTGGCCCAATGGTGAAAACTCCAACATGAGTACTGAGGGAGTGGGGTTCCATTGCCCTAGTGCACAAAGTTGTTGAAAAGTTTTCAAAATTTATGAATCGGACGGTTCATCGGCTCAAAGGCCAACGGGTTTGATCAATTTTTTCGAGTTTTGGTCGAGTTTGACTCACTTTAATCGAATTTTATTACAAACCAAGTTTATGTCATGATTTGAACGGATTTTGTAAGCAATTCTGGTTCAACTGATCAAATCGGTCTGAGTTATAAAACAGTAATTGGAACCATCTCAAACTCCTAAATATTTATGTTCCTTACATGTTTTATTTGAGTTCTGAAAATACAAAATTTACAAGGACCAGCGAGTAATCAACTAAGGCATAAATCTTGACTCAGTTGTTATCTGTTTTGGGGGGATTAAAGCAAGTTTCTAAATCAGCACCTTTTTTGCATCCGTCATGATGTGAGCTCCCATTTCTTCTGTGGAACCACTTCCTGTGTGGTTTTGGTTTTCTGTCACTAATTGCAATGGCAACGTCATTAGGGAAGAGGTCTCGGAGGACAAAGGCATGGATTATGGTTGTTGCAAGCAGAGCTATTACGAAGAGAGTGGCAATTGCAGATAGTATAACAGAAAGAGTCTGATTGCCTATATTTGTGACTTCGCTTGAATATCTGATAGTTGCTATGGCTGCACTAGTCATTGGAAAAGAGTACGCCCACCAAGCCAATGAGAACCTGTACATAGGAGAATTATATCATATTCTACTAATAGAACTGAAATAAAAGAAAATAAGGAGAGTGGTTTAGAAGGATACTCACTTAAATCCACAAAAAAATTTAACCCGAACAGCCTGCAAACATAGTGGAAATAGCAGGGTTTAACATTTTGGTAATTAATCTTTTGAATCATACGTGCAATGCAGAAAATTGATAGAAACAACTGATTAAACAACAAACTTATA